ATCTCTACACACCTGCAAGTACCAGATCTCGGGGCCAACGACCCATGTGCTCGGAATAGTAAGATATATTTGACTGTAATGTGAAGATAAACGGCAAATTAAAAAAGGCCACTACCTCTTGATCCATCCTACCTTAGCTGCTGTCTTCACCCGAAAATAACGCTGGGGCGTTGTCTATGAATATAGTGCCCGGCGGGCGTTATATTCGTTTATAACGCCCGGGAGTTATATTCAGTAAATTGGTGGCAAATTTGGTGGGCCTCGAAATTAAAAAAAATATATCAAAAAATTCTGGGAAAAAAAATATGTTGTCTAGAATTGCCATGCCACCAACTTTTGGTTGAGAATTACTTCAGAATTCCTTATAAATTCGGGAAAAATAGTAATAATAATAATAATAAAATAAACCAAAACATACACCTTGGAAGTCGAAACCCCTTTCAACCCCATGTATACCCCCCTTCCCCCCCCACTTTTAAACCCACGTAATCTCCCTCTACAAGGCACTCTTGCCCACCAAACATTCAAATATAATGCCCAGGCATTCTATTCTAATATAACACCCGGGCATTACATCGAAGGGCGTTCTATTCCCAAAAAAAGTGAGTAAAAACACAAATCTGAATTTTGAAGGGTAAGTTGACTATGCCGCCCTGGCGTTATTTTCGGGTGAAGACGGTAATGAGACTTCGCCCCAGGAGAGCTATGCCCGCGCAAAAAACATTTGACAGGAATCAGGCCGTAAAACTGGAGGATCAGGGCGGCCGGGCAAGAGAGAGAGAGAGAGAGAGAGAGAGAGAGAGAGAGAGAGAGAGAGCTTAGCAAGTTAGCACGACGGGGCAGCATGTCATGCAGATGTGGTGAAGTATCTGCCTCAGACTGCCTGACACTGAACTTTTGATTGCTAACGTCAAGAGATCAAATCCATACACCGTTCACAGGAGTCATCGACAATACTAGGGCGACCAGACTCGGGACGAAGGACAACATCTGAAGATCGACAAGTGCAGGGTGTCGACAACAATTCCCCTGGAAGCGTGTGCTAAAAATAGCGCCTTTGCAGTCGACCACTCTCATCACCATGATTGCTTATCCATCCCCCTACCCTCCCACTAAAGTCTCTCTCTCTCTCTCTCTCTCTCTCTCTCTCTCTCTCTCTCTCTCTCTCTCTCTCTCTCTCTCTCTCTCTC